ATTAATTTGATTTATATGCCGCCGTTCTCCAGAGACTCAGGGCGACTTACAATGCGTTAAGCAATAGCCTTCATACTTTTGTATATACCTGCTTAGTAGGGCTTTCGGCCCCCCCTAAGCAGTGTTCTTTTTTATACAAAGTCAGCTTATTGCCCCCACAATCCGGCTCCTCATTTTACCTACCTCGGGAGGATGGAAGGCTGTGTCAACTTTGAGCCTGGTGAGATTTGAACTTGCAGTAATTGCAGGCAGCTGGCAGCTTAAGTGCTAATTTAACAGCACTTTAGTCCACTGCGCCACCAATGCTCATTAGCCTGCAGCACTCTAACCACTGTGCCACCATGGCTCATTAACAAGTAAAATGCAATTTCACTCATTTCCAAAATCAAGCTCTTCTTTTCATTTACCGGAGAGGATCTCTGACGGAAAGTTGTATGTGTCTTCTGAGAAAGACGCACCTGGGGGATTTTGTAGGTGCCCAACATGGTTGACATCTGGATGGAGATGCCAGTCTCGGCCTCTTCCAGAACAGCCACCGTGTTTCTGTGCCTTCCACACCTGTAGTTGGGCACATTGGCCTCCCCGTTTGAAAGGAGATCCAGCAAAGCATCTGAAGTCATTTCTATCCTGAAGAAATTTTCATAGATATTATAACCCAGGGTGACGTTGGGTAAGAGATGGTCACTATGGTTGATGTCCTCAGTGGCAAAAATGAAGGGCACAAATTTCCAAAAATGTTTGGATGCTTTTCTGCAGGTACGAACACATCAGTGAAAATAACATTTGAACTTTCTTCCATTAAAATCTTTTTAATCCACTCATTCATAATGACCTCCAAACAATGTGCAACATTCAAATATATTACAATAGAAAAAGAATAAGAAGAACGGAAAATGTTGCTTCATACAATATTTCAAAGGCACTCTTCTGGGTGGTTATAGTAACACAACCTAAATTTCATGCTTTGATCTTCAAATATTTTGTCCCATATCTGGTGGATTGTTTCATCTCTTTTAATAGGGGTGACTGATGTTGTTGTTGTTAGTTGTGAAGTTGTGTCCGACCCATTGTGACCCCATGGACAACATTCCTTCAGACCTTCCTGTCCTCCACCATCCTCTGGAATCCATTTAAGCTCACGCTGACTGCTTCAGTGACTCCATCCAGCCACCTTGTTCTCTGTTGTCCCCTTCTTCTTTTGCCCTCAATCGTTCCCAGCATTAGGCTCTTATCCAGTGAGTCCTTCCTTCTCATTAGGTGGCCAAAGTATTTGAGTTTCCTCTTCAGGATCTGACCTTCTAAAGAGCAGTCAGGGTTGATCTCCTCTAGGACTGACTGGTTTGAACTTGCAGTCCAAGGGACTCGCAGGAGTCTTCTCCAGCACCAGAGTTCAAAGACCTCAATACTTGATGACTGATATCCCCAGATAATTTTCACATTTAAATGCAGTTCTAGGATTCTTTCAAATTATATAATTTTTTTAAAGGCATTGAATAGCTAAACTAAACTATTTATTATTAGCTCTTGTATATTCTTCATATTATAGATATTTGATGAGTTGGACCAATGTAATTGAGAATGGCTCCAACCTGAATGACTTCAGAAGCTTTTAAAGTCCAATTTATTCTCTCCAGCTCTGAGGCAGAGTGAACATCCATAATCTGTTGAATCAACTTCTGTTGGTGTTTTGCTTGTTTCTGGGACAGTTTAGGATTCTTTTCCTATTTTGTACTTGAATTGTAAACCGCCCAGGGTATGAATTCTATGCACAAGTAAACATATCGATCTACCTATCGATACAGTAGTGATAATATTTTCATTTTAAACAAGGATTGTTAAGATCCATGAATGAACCAATGAATGATCATGGGAGACACTTGCAAACTTCCTTACTGTTTAATTGGGAATCTTTTATTCCAACAGTAAATTTTGATGTGGAAAAAACAATGGTGACATTACAGATTTACAAAATTGGAAGGGATCTTGTAGGTCATCTAGTCCAACCTCCCCAAGCAGGAGAGCCTACACCATTTCTGACAAATGGCAGTCCAATCTCTTCTTGAAAGCCTCCAGTGATGAAGCTCCCACAACTTCCGAAGCCAACTTCTGTTCCATTGGTTGATTATTCTCACTGTCAGAAAATCCCTCCTTATTTGTAGGTTGAATCTCTCCTTGATCAGTTTCCATCCATTATTCCTTGCCTGGCCTTGGAAAGTAGCTTGACCCCCTCCTTTCTGTGGCAGCCCCTCAAATATTGGAAGACTACTATCATGTCTCCCCTCGTCCTTCTCTTCACTAGACTAGCCATGCCCAGTTCCTGTAACCAATCTTCATATGTTTTAGTCTCCAGTCCCCTAATCATCCTGGTTGCTCTCCTCTGCACTTTTTCATTATCTCATCTCCAATGCAGAGAAAAAAGACAGTGTTGCTTTGTGCTTGGACCAGTGTCCCCCAGAGTCCAGCTCAACTCAGGGGCAAGATGGAAGGGAGAGGTCACTCTGTTCCACTGTTTCCACGCCCCAGCTCTGATCATAGGATGGAAAGGTAAAATGGATATGGGCAAATAGTGTATCTTGATTGGGTTTTGATACGATACCATGTTTTCCCCAAAATAAGACCCTGTCTTATATTTTTTTTGAACCCAAAAATAAGTGCTTGGCCTTATTTTTGGGGAAGTCTTATCATTTTGGGGTATGTGGAGCAAGACTGGGATCCTCTTGCTATCTTACCTGATTTCCAGCTCTGTCTCCCTAACCCTAACCAGAGGAAATGGCGTGGATCGGTTGAGTGTTTAAATATTTTTGGGGAGGGTTTATTTTCAGGGGAGGGCTTATTTTTGGGAAAGGGTTTATGTTTGGGGGAGGTCTTATTTTTGGGGAAGTCTTATTTTCGGGGAAACACTCAAAATGAGCTTCTTTAACCTGTGGTGTGCAGTAGAGATCCCAAATTAGAATCAGAAAGCATGTTAGGAAAAGGAGGAGATCTGGAGATCAGCATCTCCCTTTTTCAGAGAGTTGGAAATGTAGGCATTCATTGGAAATGGAGCGTCTCCAATGCAGCGCGGGAAGATTGACTTACTTGGAGAATTTAGCTGAAGGACTTCTGTCGAAGGGCAGGGATTGAAACCTAGCCTTCATCGCAGAGAATACACCACCGATGAAATAATCTCCTGACTTGTAATGATTGTCTGGATCCACTTCGCTTTGTTCCAGAGTCAGGAGGCATTTGGCTTTGGGCATCGCACAGGCTCCCCATGGCCACAGAAGCAGCACAAGTAGAAGTGTAAGCAACATGACTTGTGTTCCTGGCTGAGCCCTCTCTGTCTGCAATTTCACGAAGAATGAGAAGAATAGGTGGAAGAAACGAAAACCTCTTCCAGGGCAGAAGCTTCAGATCCAGACAGGGTCCAGCCAAAATATAGAAAAACAGCCCTTGTATTAAAACCACCCCCAGAATTTCTTTCTTTCTCTTGAGCCATTTATGTAAACCTTTACTATATGTTAGATACAGATTAGATAGAGTTGGAAGGGACCTTGTAGGTCATCTAGTCCAACCCCCTACCCAAGCAGGGGACCCTTCCTCATTTCTGACAGATGGCAGTCCAGTCTCTGACTTTCTGTTTTAGCCAACAGTGCATTTAAGCCTGATATCAACATCAAGACACTTTCTGACATGTTTGTATTAATTTTTCTGAAAGTCTGCAGAAATGTCTCTAGGGGCTTAACATAAACTCAGAAAATCACTATGATTTGGATAAATGTCCATGGAGTTTCTCAGTCATTCAGTTCGTGGTTGTCCCAAAGGTGCATTTTCCAAAAGGCAATTAGACTTTCTTAGTTTTTCTTTTTAAAAAAAAAAAAACAAACAGACATATTTTGCCTCTCAACCAAGAAGCTTCTTCAGCTCTCCAGTATGATTTGGATAATTGCAAAGAACAGAAACATCAGATCTCTGAAACCTGCACAAGTCAACAAGCACACATCCAAAGGAAGGCCTTTCAGATGTGGCTCCAAAGTTTGAAGATGGGCCAGCAAAGCAGACTAGAGAATTTGGCCCCAAATGTTTCTAATAGACGTTTTAGAAAACCCAGGGTCAAGAGAGATTTTGAGCATGGCCATGGAGAGGGGCATCTTAATATGGATTTAGTTAGGCATTCTTTTTTTAGGGGAATTTGCAAATAGGTCTTTTGGCCTCCTGTGAATCCTATTCAGAGTGCAGCAATTGGTCCCTGTTTGAAGACAAAAATTTATTTATTTATTTATTTATTTATTTATTTATTTATTTATTTATTTATTTATTTATTTATTTAAATTTATATGACACTCATCTCACTGTCTGAAGCTTGGGAGATCAGCAAAATAATTTCTTATTCCCATAATTCTCGAGTCTGCCTTTCTGTTGAAGAGGCTTTATTCTTTTAGACATTGACTCATTTTATCTCTTTCCTTGTTGGCCTTCCAAGGTTGGATCTGGCCTTCTGTAATCCATACTGATCCCAAGTCACTTGCAAGATCTCCTAGAGATATAATTCAAATTTCTTCCACGTGTCAGTGTTCTGAGTAACATACCCAATACTGGATGCAATATTCAAAGTGTGGTCTTACTAAGGCTTTGTAAAGAGGTATTAGAACTTCATATGATTTTGATTTTATCTCTCCATTAATGCATCCTAGGATTACATTGGCTTTTTTGGCTCATACATTTTGGCTCATACATTGGCTCATACATTGGCATACTGTTGGCTTATATTTAAATGATTGCCCACTAGGACTCCAAGATCCCTTTCACAATTACTGGCATTAAGCCAAGTTTCAACTTGTCTATACCTATACAGTTGATTTTTCTTGCCTAAGTGTAGAATTGTACTTTTATCTATGTTGAATTTCATTTTGTTAGATAGGTTAGATACAAATCAAAACAAAAAAAGGTTTGTATATTCATAATCTTTTTCTACGACCATTCAAGTAGCAAATAATCAATTTGTAACAACTCAATGGCAGTTTGGGGAAAGACATAAACATTTAATGTTATTTTGACATCAGATGTTCTTTTGTATTCAGGTCTGGCCTTAAAAAGATAATGTAGCACTTGGGGATGAAGATGCAGCCTAGCAGGCCAGTACTTGAAGCCAAGATGGAGAAGACCTGCACAGCCACCATATACTTCCCCTTGGTGCTCAGATAGGTGGGAACAAAGGATATCCAGACACTGCAGAAAACCAGCATGCTGAAGGTGATCAACTTGGCTTCATTGAAGGCCCCAGGTAGATTCCTGGCCAAAAAAGCCACTACGAAGCAGATGACAGCCAGCAAACCCATGTAGCCAAGGGCAAGATAGAACATGGCAACGGAGCCATCATTACATTGCAGGATGATCTCCGCAGATTGTGAGTGCATGTCAGTATCAGGAAATGGAGGAGAGGTGCCCAACCAAAAGCTGCAAAGGACAATTTGGACACCAGAACAAGAGATGATGATGGAGTTGGACAAGCTCTTCCCTAGCCATCTCTGCATCTTATTCCCTGGTTTTGTGGCTAAGAATGCTAACACCACCATGACTGTTTTGGCCAGGACAGTGGAAATAGCAACTGAGAAAATGTTGCTGAATGCTGTTTGTTGGAGAAGGCATGTAGCAGTCCTTGGCTGGCCAATGAATAGGAATGAGGTCAAGAAGGAGAGCAGGAGGGCAATTAGGAGAACATAGGAGAGATCACGATTGTTAGCTTTGACTATGGGAGTTCCTTTGAATTTAATGAAGATTCCCAAGAGTAAACCTGTTACCAAAGAAAGAAGCAAGGCAAGGGAAGCTAGGATGATCCCCAGATTTTCTTGATACGATAAGAACGTTTCAGTCTTTGGTATACAGACATCTCGGTTGATGTTTGGATGCTGATGTGCTGGACATCTGGTGCATTTTTCAGCATCTGAAAAGAGAAAGATTAAAATCTACCATAAAGCAAGAACTTCCATCAGATGCATAGTTAGAGTGAAATGAATGATGGTGAAGATTTATTTATTTATTTATTATATTTCTATACCGCCTTTCTCCCGTAGGACTCAAGGCGGTGTACAGTCAAGAAAAATATAGACACACAAACATCATAAAATTGCTAATTAAAATTATTACTTAGTTTGGTCAATTAAATAAAACCCAGAATTAGATAACATTTAAAAAATCATTCACATGTTCGTATGTTTAGCCCCGCCTGTTGGAACATCAGGGTCTTGAGGGCATGGCGGAAAGCACGGAGATCAGGGATATTCCGTATCTCCGGGGGCAATTCATTCCAAAAGGTTGGAACCCCCACAGAGAAGGCCCTCCCCCTGGGAGTTGCCAGTCGACATAATTTGACTGGCGGTACCCTGAGTAGTCCCTCCCTGTGAGAACGAACTGGTCGGTGGGAGGCTATTGGTGGCAAAAGACGGTCTCGTAGGTGTGAAGATGAATGTGTGTGAATAAATGTAATACGTAGCAAAGGTTGGGAAGTTTAAGAATTATAATGCAAAATGACAATAGTAAACGGCAAATGATGAGTTGTGTCCATTCAATATTCAGAATAACAGAATAAGTAATTATGTCAGGTATGCCACCTTTCAACACTCAAGAAAGAAAAACCCCGACTCCATTTTCATAGAGAGAGGTACTTTTACTGAGTATGAACTGAATGCAACCAAAGAAAAACAAGGTCTGAGGCAATAGGTGCGAAAATCACATATAGAAAGCATCCTTAAAACCCTCCCCCCCATCGTCCTGTCAGGATTATCCAATCCACATCCCCCCAAGGGGTCATGTGGGGTGCAGCTTCCTATGGCTCCATCCTCCTGGTATGCCACGACGGTTGACCTTGAGTGGTTATCAGCTGCAGAGAAACGCTGAGGAAAACTTTCTCCCATTTAGTCCACCAGTTCACTTCCCCCCTCCCAACTATCCAGACAGCTCCCCCCTCCCCCCGTTACAATTGCAGCTGAACAAGCAAACAATATAAAGGCGGAGGCTGACAAATTAGTTCCGAAGGAAGGAAGGAAGGAAGGAGGGAAGGAAGGAAGGAAGGAAGGAAGGAAGGAAGGAAGGAAGGAAGGAAGGAAGGAAGGAAGAAGGAAGGAAGGAAGTTTCCAATGTTATAGCAATAGCACTTTGACTTATGTACCAATTTATTTATTTATTTATTTATTTATTTATTTATTTATTTATTTATTATTGCGATTTATATGCCGCCTTTCTCCCTGGGGACTCAAGGCGGCTTACGAAATGACAAATTCCAATACAAATCACAATGAAATAAAATTAAAATCAGCAACCCTATTTAAAACAGTTTAAAATTATGACAGTGTACCCCCAAACGGATCAGTTGAGTTGACGGAAGAGCCACGTCTTCAGCTCGCGACGGAAAGAAAGAAGGTCGGGGGCTGTCCTGAGCTCGGTGGCCAATCCATTCCACAGTGCTTTACAGTCCTGTCTAAGTGGTTTACAGAATCAGCATATTGACCCCAACAATCTGGGTCCTCATTTTACCAACCTTGGAAGGATGGCAGGCTGAGTCAACCTTGAGCCAGTGAAAATCCAACTGCCAAACTGCTGGCAACCAGTAGACAAGATGAAGAGCAAAAACAATGCCATCTCCCTTCTAAAGCATAGACCTCATGGATCCCCTGTCTTTTAGTAACCTGCTTAAAATGTAAACAACATAAAGATTATCAATCAATCAGAATAGAGCTGGAATGGGCTCTGGAGGTCATCTAGTCCAGCCCCCTGTTCAAGCAGGAAGAGCTATATCATTTCAGACAAGTGACTGTCCAGTTTCTTCTTAAAAACCTTCAGTGATGAAGCACCCACAATGTCTGCCAGCAGGCTGTTCCACTGGTTCATTGTCATTGCTATTAGGAAGTTTTAATTCCAGGTTGCTTCTCTCCTTGATTAGTTTCTATCCATTGTTTCTTGTCTTGCCTTCTGGTGCTTTGGAAAATAATTTTTTTTAATAAAGTTTTTTTTTAAAAAATTTTTTAAACACACAAACAAACATACAATGCATCTTTTCTGAACAGGATATTGGCCCGGTTTTAGATTTCTACAAATTTTTGTTTGTCTTTAACACAATTTTAACACAATTTTATATATAGATTTTACTCATATCATTTATTCTCTCTAATTCTAAAAAAACCAATATTACCCTTCATCTTAACTTCTCGTCCTAATATAGTTCATTTTTTCTTTTCCCTCCTTAAGATTTGAACCCCTAAGTTTAAATTCATATAACATAATACCATCCCCCATTATTACCTTAAATTCTCTTATTCCAATCACCAAGGATTCTTTTATCAACTATTCCAAATAATAGATTGCAACAATTAAACATATTCAATAAAAAATCAATTAAATATCAATCTTACTCCAATACCTCTACATTTACACTCATAGAGCATAATACAATTCCCAATCATTTTCTTAAGTTTATAACATAATACCATTCCCAATTATTTTCTTAAATTCTTTAGTTCCAATCTCAAATACTTTTTTCTTTGTCAACTGTTCCAACTAATAGGCGTCAACATTTTTATAACATTTTTATAACATTTTTATATCATTTTTATAAAGACCAGTTAAGTATATCTAATTAATTCATAATCCAATATATAATTAAAGGTATTTCATTTATTACAATCCCCTTCATTAATTAAAAATATTCCAATTATTCATACACCCATATAGTTTTAAAATCACTTCATTAGGAATACAATTTCATCTTTTATTCATTTTCTTTACCCCATATTCTCCTTCCATTTCTTTCTCCTTTTCTATCTTTATATTTTACTTTCTTTTTCTTTTTCTTACCCCTTCTTTTTTTTAAATTTTAAAATCCTGATCTCTCTTTTCCCTAATCCCAATATAGTCATTTTGTTTTTAAAGATCATAAACTCTTCTATTTTGCTGTATCTTTCCCATTTTTTCCCATCCCTTTTCCCTTTTTCTTATTTTCTCACTGATAACCCCAGTGTAATCATTTAAGTTTTTTATATTCTTTCTATTCCATCCTTTGGAAAATAAATTGACCCCCTCCTCTTTGGGGAAGCCTCTCAAATACTGGAATACTGCTATAACTTATCGCATGTTATAAATTACACATATCAATGCATTTTTTTTTCAAAGCCAAGCTTGCAATACATAACAAAACAAATTTTGAATTATTTTCTTTCCCAAAGTTAGCCTCATTTCTCTGGTGACACCCACCTTCTATGGTGGAGATGGTTCCTTCTGCACAAGGACGACAATCATAGCAGCAGATGGGCTTCCCTTCCTGAGCCACCTTCATGAATCCAGGATGACAGCTTTCTACACACCTGGAAGGAGGAAAGGGCTGAGGAGAGAAAGGAGAAATATCCAGAAAATAAATTTATTTTCAGACAAAGGACAAAGGAAGAAGGGATTGTTAATCTCCAGTTCAAGTTTTAGCTTTGACTAAGTAGAAATCAATAGGAAATGTGAGGATCATTAAAAGGGATTGAACTCCATCAGTGGTGGGTTCCATTTACCATCGCTACCGGTTCGGAACCAGGAGCCTGCACATGCACGCACTCACTTCGCTCGCTTGGGGTGATCCTGCGCATATGCACAGAGCATCTGTGATGATGTCCAGGCAGGTGGGAAGAGCCTTGGATTGGGCAAACCGGTAGAAACCCACCACTGAACTGCATATTCCTTTTTGGTTTCTCTTCCCTTCTGATGTTTCATGCACAGTACCATTTTTAGGCAGCCATTTTAAATTTAGAATAGAATAGATTAGATTAGAATTCTTTATTGGCCAAGTGTGATTGGACACACAAGGAATATGTCTTGGTGCATATCAGAGGTGGTTTTCAACAGGTTCTGACCAGTTCTGGAGAACCGGTAGCGGAAATTTTGAGTAGTTCGGAGAACCGGTAGTAAAAATTCTGACTGGCCCCGCCCCCATCTATTCTCTGCCTCCCAAGTCCCAGCTGATCGGGAGGAAATGGGGATTTTGCAGTAACCTTCCCCTGGATTGGGGACGGAATGTAGATTTTACAGCATCCTTCCCCTGGAGTGGGGTGGGAATGGAGATTTTACAGTATCCTTCCCCTGCCACGCCCACCAAGCCATGCCCACAGAACCGGTAGTAAAAATTTTTGAAACCCACCACTGGTGCATATGCTCTCAGTGTACATAAAATAAAAGATACATTCGTCAAGAATTATAAGGTACAACACTTAATGATAGTCATAGGGAACAAATAAGATATGATATTTTTCAGGGAAATATTGGACAAATTCCTTCCTTTGGCTAAGTGAGCTAGGTTACTTGCATGATTGGCTCAATCAACCTTCCTTTCCATGCATTCAGTGAATAGCTTGCATAAAACCCCAAAACGATCTTTTCCACGACCATCTGAAAACCCAAAGAAAAAGTTTCAACTCTTGAGAGCATGATGTTCTGTCCCTGTCTCACACACGCACACAAACAGTCAGCCAGGGGTTAAATAAAACTTGCAGACAACAAATTCTTTCGATAAGAGGATTGGCAGCAACCCAGTAGCTGCTTGCCAAGAACTTTACTCACAGAGGGAGGTGTTCCTCCTCTGTCAGATAAACCAAAACAAATACACAAAGCCACAGAATTGTCAAGTCCAGTCCATAATAAATCCAAGGCGGGCAGATAACGTAGTTTCAGAGATACAATGTGACTCGCTAGTTGTTTAGTTTTGTCCATCACAGAGCCTGAATGGCCACCACACCCCCTTTTATCCCCTGTGGAGTGTGGTCCAGTGATTTAGCTTAATCTCTGGCACACCTCCTTTTCTGTTGCGTGCGCTTGTCTCTCCGACGCTGGCGTGGATCCAGCCAAGACTTATCTCCGTCACTGTCTGACTGTGACTGTTTGGAGATACCTGGCTCCTGGCCAATCTCTTCTCCTTCAGGAGCCACATGAGGCATTGCCAGAGAGGAGGGTCCTGGAGAGGGAGGCCTGGCCAACTCCTCTCCTTCATGTTTGGAGCCTTCTCCTTCCGATAAGTCGGCCTCGGGGGTTGGAGTCACAACACATGATCAACTGATGTGAAAACTCAAAGGCATTGTTGTGGCCCCGCCCTCTGAGCCACTAGTCACTAAAGCCTCATCCGGAACTGCGGAGAGAAATATTATTTCTGCTTGGACTTTTTGCACGTTAAGTACCTTATCTTTCTGTTTGTGAAAATAAAGGCATTTGGCAGACGGTGTGTCTATCGCTGCCAAGTGGGAGATAAGACCTGGGTGCGTTCCAAAGTATTTCCTTAACCCTCGGCTGGCTGTGTTTGTGTGTGTGTGGGTACGGGGACAGATCAGGCATTGAAAGCAAACCCCTTACCCAACCCAAAAGTACATCCTTATTATTGCCATCTTTTTCAATGGAAGAAAATAAATATTAAATCTCACTTTCAGCATTTCCGCCTGGGCGATACCCTTTTGGTCAATGAGAACTTTAAAATCCCGGGATGCCCCTTTTTCTAGATTCCCACATTTTACTCTCTTGACAGAACTGTTGGGGAGAACCATCCAGTTCAGAATGTCCAGGTCAACCGTCAGATCTCCTTTCTCATCCAAATATACCCCATCCATGGAATTATTGTGAAACTGAGAGCTTTGAAGGAAGGAGTGAAGCTGGAAAGAAAAGGAAAAAAAGAGTTTAAGAAAGAAGATCAGAAGTTCTTTGAAAGGATATCTTGGTCTATGCTGGGAGGGATATGAACAGAGCAATAGCAATAGCAGTTAGACTTATATACTGCTTCATAGTGTTATACAGCAGGGGTCTCCAACCAGGGGTGAAATGCTCCCAGTTCGGATCGGATTGTCCAATCCGGTAGCGATGGCAGTGGGTGGTTCGGAGAACCGGTAGCAAAACCGGTAGTACAGGGGTTTAGTGCACCCTGTTATTAACACAGCTGCCTGAAATTTCTGCTGGTTCGAATCTCTCCAAGGCTCAAGGTTGACTCAGCCTTCCATCCTTTCTAAGGTAGGTGAAATGAGGACCCAGTTTGTGGGGGCAATAAGCTGACTTTGTATAAAATATACAAAAGAATGAAGGCTATTGCTTAACGCATTGTAAGCCGCCCTGAGTCTCCGGAGAAGGGCGGCATATAAATCAAATTAAAAAAAAAAAAATCCCTGCGCCCCCCCCACACCATGCCCAGCTGAGCCACGCGATTATCAGAGGCTTTTAAAAAAAAATTTAAAAGCATTTTTTCTACAATCTCTTCGGCCGAAAAAATGGTTTTAATGCGGTATTGCAGGCTAATTCTGTTGACTGCCAGCAGTTCGATTCTCATCAGCTCAAGATTGGCTCAGCCTTCCATCCTTTTGAGGTTGGTAAAATGAATACCCAGATTGTTGGGGGCAATCTGTAAACTGTTTAGAGAGGGCTGTAAAGCACTGTGAAGCAGTGTATAAGTCTAAGTACTATTGCTGTTGCCTTAGCCAGGAAAGCCAGCTAAGTGACTTTGGGCAGTCATTCTCTCTCTCAGCCTAAATCCAATTCACAGGATTGTTGTTGGGAGGAAAATAGGAGAAGAAAGGTATGTTGGATATATTTGTTGCCTTGAGTTATTTGTGAAAATAATAAAGGCAGGATATAAATAAATGAATAAGAGTGGTACAGTGACCTAGAGGTGGAGCACTTGCCTCCCAATCAGGAGGCTGTAAGTTCGCTCCTAGATAGAGGCAGATATTTCTCTCTCTGGGGACACTGGGAATATATCTGCTGGAAAAAAACCTCTGCATTGGTGACAGGAAGGGCATCTGGCCAGTAAACACTCACGACATTCAGTTGCCCAGACTTCACCCTGCAAAGGATTATGGGGTCATTAAAAGAGGATGATGATGATAAATAAGTGAATAAAATAAAATAAATGAATGATAGAAGGTTAGAATTGAGCTTTAATTTTTTCAGAAGAAGTAAGCAAGGCATCCACTTACAAAACTAGTTGCCATCTGATGAAAAAGTCTTATGGAAAAGAAATACCTGCCAAGCCTCAACCCTTACAGCATTTACCTTTATACCCCTGTTCCCCTTTGATCTGTTTGATGTGGAGATATAAGCTGAATTTAAGGCTCTTCCCACAGCCCAGATGGTATTGTAGTTGAAGTAGCTGTCCATAGCCAGGATCTGATCGATCTCCTCTTTCGTCAGAGCCACCACTTCTTCCCTCTGTCTGCACCGTCTCCAGATTTTTACCGAATAGCCATCCTTAGCGGATGTACACGCAAAGGATTTCTCCACAAAGTTAAGTAGGAATAAATAAAGGGTAGGAACTGTATCATAGTTTACCTGTTTCCTTTTTGGTATCAGAAAGGAAAAACAGCTGCCAAAGTATTTAATGGAAACGATACCAAACATCAGGACAAGATTCAGATCCCAATAAGCTGTGGTGATCCAGACCTTTTCTATAATAGGTTCCTGAAAGGTTTTCAGTATGATTTCTACAATCATCATCCCGTTAGCGAATGAATTAGACTGTGAGCCATAAACAAAGACATTGACTCCTCGCCACTTGCGATATTGTTTTGATGACAAAACTACATCAGCCACATTCAGTGTAAAGATTTCATATATAACTGCACAAATGCCATTCCTTAACATCAAAGAAGGCATTGTCCTCATGAACCTCTCCCCCTGGTCAGTTTCTGGAGCAAGGAGACCAACCAAGGTCCACTTGAAATAGAGGAGAAGCTGGACCATTCCTGGGTATTGGACGCCTTCAGCAGGAAACATGGGATAAAAGAAAGGAAACTGAGTTTTATCCCTCAGAATCTGGGAAGCAAAACTGTAACTGATCTACAAAGGAAAAAAAGAAAATGGTGCTAGTTTATCCTTGACAACAAAAATTCTCATTTCCAAAAATCAAACTCTGCTTTTCATTTACAGAACAGGACCTCTGACTGACTGACAGTTGCATGGGTGAAAATATTCACTCAGAGAAAGACACACCTGAGGGACTTTGTAAGTGCCCAGCATGGTGGAAATCTGGATGGAGATGCCAGTCTCGGCATCTTCCACAACAGCCACTGTGTTTCTCTGTCTTCCACACCTGTAGTTGGGCACATTGGCCTCCCCGTCTGAAAGCAGGTCCAGCAAAGGATCTGTAGTCATTTCCACCTTGTAGAAATTTTCATAGATATTATAACCCAGGGTGATGTTAGGTAAGAAATTGGTATTCTGGTTGAGGTCCTTGGTAGCCAAGAGGAAGGGCAGGAATTTCCAATAAAATTTGGATGTTTTTCTGCAAGTACCAACATATCAATGAAAGTAACATTTAACTTTTCTTCCACGGTAATATTTTTAATTCACTCAATTACAAATATTATTCCAAACAGTTTGTAACATTCCACAATATTACCATAGAAAAAGAGTAAAAACAATAAGAATTTTTGGATCTTAGAGTATTTCACAGGCACTCCCCCAGTTAGTTATACTAACCCCAATTCAACTTCATGTGTTGATTTTCAAACATTTTATCATATATTTGATTGACTATTTCCTTTGTCTTAATACAGGTGACTGATATCCGCAGATAGCTTTCAATGTTTCAGTGCAGCTGTAGGATTCTTTCAAATTGCGTTACATTTTAAGATACATGAATGGTTAAACACATATATTTATTGTTAGCGCTTGTATATTGTAAATATTATAAATATTTGTGCAGTTGGATTGAATTATCTGAGAATGCCTCCCACCTGGGTACAATGAGAAGCTGTTAAAGTCCAGGTGATTCTTCCCAGTGTAAGGTCCCAAAATATACTTGAGTTACCAGAATGCCAAAGAGAGAGAGCCTCAAGACGAGGCTTGCAAAAAGAAGCAGATTTTATTTATGGCCAAAAACAAAATACTGGGTGGGACTATATCCAGAACATACGGATACAATGCATGTGAGGAGATAGCCACACCTTGGGGAAGGTATAGCCACACCTTGGGGAAGCCACACCTTGGGGAAGGTCAGAGACATCATCTTAGTACCCAGTTCTGGCCTCCTAGTTTAGGTTTGTGTATTCCTTGTTGCCCTGCAAAGGAATAGAAGCCTCCCAATTAGCGTTTTCTCTTCCTTGAGCATTCCTTTGTTCTCCCAATTGCTCATTTGGTCCCCTGGTTCTGCAAGGAACGAGTTTATACAGATCAAAGGTGTAAATTAGGGCTGAAGCGTAAATTATCCTGTGGATGATGTCTGCAGTTCCAACTGAGATACCCACCATGCTCTTACATGGCATGAGAAAACCAGGAAGATTTTTTTTTTTTAAATTTGATTTATATGCCGCCCTTCTCCGAAGACTCAGGGCGGCTTACAATGTGGTCAGCAATAGCCTTCATCCTTTTGTATATTTATACAAAGTCAGCTTATTGCCCCCACAACTGGGTCCTCAATTTACCTACCTTAGAAAGGATGGAAGGCTGAGTCAACCTTGAGCCTTGGCGAGATTCGAACCCTGCAGTAATTGCAGGCAGCTGGTCTTAATAACCAGCTTAATAACAGGGTGCCTTAAACCCCTGTACTACCAAGGCTCTTATGGTAGATTGATATGGATTCAGATCAAATGGCAGGAACATATGTTTGACAAATACCAGATACATTACAGAGGCCTAATAACAGAATATGCTTGTTACAGGAGATACAAATCTAAAGGCATAATCTATGTGATACAAATACAAAGAGATATTTGTGTTACAGATATAAAGGTACAATGTAAGTGTGTTTTACAAATACAAAGGCTATATATGTTTTACAGGAATCTAATGATTACAGAATAACAAGTTTCTACTAATTCTAGTATAACATATTCTAGAATTATTTATTATATCCTTATTACTGTTTCCCTTCATTAGCAAGGAGGTAGAATGAAAATGGGCCCCCCATTTGGATGGATTTTCATTGGTTTTTTGTTTGTTTGTTTGTTTCTGGGGCTGTTACCCCCACCCCTTTTCTTTGATTGTAATCCAACGGGAGTCTTACGGCCTATGAATACTATGAATAAGTAAATAAATCAACCAATCTATTGACCTACCAATATAATAGCGATAGCAATTTCATTTTAAACAAAGATTGTTAGGGACATGGCATGAATTTAATATTTGATCTTAATCTTAATCTGAATATGGGTAGATATATACTTACTCTTGAGAGCAGGCAACATAATTTCAGTTTTAATGTGGCCCAGTGTGTTCACAGTAAAAAATGACAATAAAGGTTAACTTAACTATCATATCTTATCTTATCCTGAATCAAAATCAGGCACAGCCGCAAATTTCATGAATGTCCAGGTTCTTAACTGGGACTCTTTCATTCCAGCAGTAGACACTGGTGTGGAAAATCATTCATCTGGATTCATCTCATCTCAGATGCAGAGATGAAATACAGCATCCCCTGTGTTTGGAGGAGGGGTCTCCCACAGAGTCTAGCAAATCTCAGGGATGAGATGGAGAGAAAGGAAATTCTGTCTTTCTGTTTCCAAATTCTAGCTTTGCTCAACAGATGGAAAGAAAAGTTAGTGGAGGTAAATATCTTGGTTGGGTATTGATGCTTGGAAGCTCAAACTGGAGCTTCATTACATGCAGCGGTCAATAGGGACCTCAAGATAGAATCAAAAATTAAATTAGCAAAAGGAGCAGATCGAGGGAAGATCAACGTCTGTTTTTGAATGTGTAGAGATTCTTTGGAAAAAGAGTCACTCTGATGCAGTGCAGGAAGATTGACTTACCGTGAGAATTTTGTTGAGGGACTTCTATCAAAGCTTAATGGATGAAACCTGGCCTGCATTGCAGATATTATGCCACTAATCATATAATCTCCTGACTTGTAATAAGTTTGTGTCTCCACATCATTTTCCTCCAGGGTCAGGAGGCATTTGGCTTTGCGTATCTGACAGGATCCCCTTGGCCACAAAAGGATCACAAGTAGAAGTGTCAGCAGTATGACTCGCATTCCTGTCTGAGTCTCCAGTGTCACAGCTGCTTTTTAACAAAGAATGAGAGAAAGCAAAACCCTAAAACTTTTTCACAACAGAAGCTTCAGTTCCAGTCAAGAGAAGGAAATACAGCTCTGTCTGTCTTAAAACCAACCCCCAGATTTTCCTTCTGTTTCCGAAGCCATTTATGCACCCAGCATTTCTGATGTAGACTCCACCCAAAATGGCTTTTGTGTCTGATATTGACTTCAAAATATTTTCTGACTTGTTTGGCTTTTATTTTCTCAATATTTGCAGAAATGTCTCTAGGGATGTAATATAAAGTCAACCAATAAATCACTAAGATTTGGATAATTGCATGGAAGAGAAACCATCCCTTAGCTGAACGTTGAACTGGCCAACAGTCAGGTGCTCAAAGAGAGAACTCACAGATGTGACTCCAAACTTTGAATATGGGCCAATGAGCGAGACTGAAGAATTTGGTCCCAAATCTTTTCAATGGAATTCCTTTTGAAAACCCGGAATCAAGAAAGACTTTTAGCAAGGCCAGGAAGAATGACATCATGATACGGATTTAGTTAGGCATTTCAGGATCAGCATCAGAATAGAGGTCTTCTAGTCCAGGGGTCGGCAACCTTAAACACTCAAAGAGCCACAAAGGTCCTAACTGGAAGCCCCCGTTCAATTCTGGAGCCAACCAGAAGTCCGGATCCCCCATCACAGTCTCTTCCTAGAGCGGTGTCCTTTTTCCTTTGCTGACTGGAAGTCTGGTTCTCTCTCACCATAGAGTCTCCTCCTAGAGCGGCATCCTTTTTCCTTTACCTGTCCTAACCGAAAGCCCTATCAATTGTGGAGCCAACCGGCGACAGGGAGCCGCAGCAGAGGGATGAAAGAGCCACATGTGGCTCCAGAGCCGCAGGTTGCTGACCCCTGTTCTAGTCCAACACCCTGCTCAAGCAGGAGTCTCTCTCCTTGATTAGTTTCCATCCACTGTTTCTTGTCCTGCCTTCTGGTGCTTTGGAAAATAAATTGACCTGCGTCTTCTTTGTGGCAGCCCCTCAAATATTGCAATACTGCTATCATGTCACCCCAGTCCTTTTTCCCCTTGACTAGCCATATCCAAATCCTGCAATCGTTCTTCATATTTTTTTTTTGTCTCTAGGCCTTTAATCATCTTAGTTGCTCATCTTCACGCTTTTTCCAAAACCTCAACATCTTTTTTGTCAAACCTCGATGCAGCATTCCAGGTGTGGCCTTACTAAGGCTTTAGAAAGCGGTAATAATACTTAATAATAAAAATAAAAAATAATAAAAAAAGCGGTAATAATAATGAAACTCAAATACTTTGGCCGCCTAATGAGAAGGAAGGACTCACTGGAGAAGTCCTTCCTTCCTCAAGTCTCACTAGAGCCTTGGTAGTACAGTGGTCTAAGGCACCCTGTTATTAAGCTGGTTATTAAGACCAGCTGCCTGCGATTACTGCAGGTTTGAATCTCGCCAAGGCTCAAGGTTGACTCAGCCTTCCATCCTTTCTAAGGTAGGTAAATTGAGGACCCAGTTTGTGGGGGCAATAAGCTGACTTTGTATAAAAATACAAAAGAATGAAGGCTATTGCTTAACGCATTGTAAGCCGCCCTGAGTCTCCGGAGAAGGGCGGCGTATAAATCAAATTTTTTTTAAAAAAAGAAGAAGAGCCTAATGCTGGGAAAGATCGAGGGCAAAAGAAGAAGGAGACAACAGAGAACAAGGTGGTTGGGTGGAGTCACTGAAGCAGTCGGTGTAAGCTTAAATGGGCTATAGAGGATAGTAGAGGACAGGAATACCTGGAGGAACATTGTCCATGGGTTGCGATGGGTCGGACACAACTTCGCAACTAACAACAACAACAACAAATAATACTTCACATGATTTTGATTCTATGCCTCTGTTTATACAACCAAGGGTTGTATTAGTTTTTGGCTGCCGCAACACACTGCTAGCTCACATTTAAGTGATCGTCCACTAGGACTCTGAAATCCCTCTCACGGTTACTGTTTCTGAGCCAGGTTTCGCCTAATCTTATACCTGTGGTTTTTCCTACCTAAGTGTAAAACTTTGTTTTTCTCCACATTTCATTTCGTGTTGTTGGATAAGGCCCATTATTCAAGTCTGTCAAGTTCTTTTTGGATCCTGAGCTTATCTTCTGGAGTGTTGGCTATTCCTACCACCTTAGTGTATTCTATTCCTGCCAGCTTAGTGTTCTTTTCTCCGAATATGGGAATTAATTTTATAAATTTATGCCTTGGTTAATTATTCTGAAAAAACAACAACCCTAAATTATCCTGAGGACCCAGTTGTGGGGGCAATAAGCTGACTTTGTATAAATATACAAAAAGGATGAAGGCTATTGCTTAGCGCATTGTAAGCCGCCCTGAGTCTCCGGAGAAGGGCGGCATATAAATCAAATTAAAAATAAAATAATAATTAAAAAAAGATCCTGAAATTCAAATCCAATTTAATTCCAAGCAACCATTTTTTTCTAGGTGAGTTTGGTGATAAGTATGAAACTAGCTGTGGATCCTATTTAGTGATGGGCATTTAGCCCCTTTTTAGAGACAGACAAATTTGGGGATTAGCAAAGTAATTTCCCCCTGATCATATTAATCTTCTCTTCTGCTTCCTGTAAAATCCAGCAAAATCCCAAGAAGACCTTTTGCTCTGTATGAGCTACATCAGCAGTCTGGCTTCAGGTTCTGCAAATATGATTCAGCTGTTAGTCTTTTCTTTGCTTGCTAAGCTGAGCCATGCAGCTTTCTTTCTGTATTTCTACATACAACATTTATCCACAAGTTATGTGTCTCCTGTTATGTGTTACCCTGAGGTAAGATGGGTGGCCAGTAAATTTTATAAATAAATAAAAATAATAAAATCGTAGAAATCCCTGACATAATCATTGAAAATTCAGGGTCCTTGCAGTCATTCAGAAAGTCATATGACTCGTATATTTTTTTTTTACATGGAACCACAAATGATAGTTGAGGAAAAAAAAGGAGTTGGTGCTTTTTAAAATAAATAATTTATTTATTAATCAAATTTATATACCATTCCTCTCTCTGCCTTAATGACTCTGAGCAGTTTGCAGTTAAAACTCATAAAATCTGTACAAAACTTGACACAGTTAAAATGACAAAATCATGGCATTAAAAAGGGCATATCTCAAACCACTAGCCATCTTGAGGATTTGGTATAAATCCTCAATGTATGACCACATCTGATCCCAAAATGTTTGTTGCTAAGTGAGACAGTTAAGTGAAGTTTGCCCCATTTTATGACATTTCTTACCACAGCTGTTAAGTGAATGATAAATTAGTAGCATGGTTGTCCCAAAGGTGCTTTTTCAAGAGGACACTGGACTTTCTGGTTTTTCTTTGAAGATGTTTAGCTTCTTATCCAGGAAGTTTCTTTAGTTCTAAGAGCTAAAGAAGCTTCTTGGGTGAGAAGGGAAAAGTCTTCAAAGAAAAGATCGTGAAGCTTCTGCGCATGCGCAGATCACTGATGATGACATCCGGGGTGGTGGGCGGGGCCTCCCACTGGTTTTACTACCGGTTCTTGTGAACCGGTCTGAACTGGGGGGCAACCCACCACTGAACTGTACCTGCATGAAGCTCCATTTGTGAAAGTGGCATGTGTGCGTGAGAAACCATCGCCCCCCTCTCTCCCCCCCCACCTGCCACCACTGCTGGTCCATAGAGCTAGAAAGGTTGGAGACCGGATTACCGCTTTACTGTAACCCTCAGAATAATTGCCCTTCCAACTTTCCATCTCCTGCTTCATAATTGACTTCACAATCTGCTTGTTAATGAAGGAATGTGGTGTGGTGCCCATATAACCTGCCTTGCACTCTCTACCCCACGGGTGTCAAACAAGCAGCGTCACATTGCTGTCATGTGATGTTTTTCCCATTCATGGAGCTGGAGTGGGCGTGGCCTGCACATGATGCATTCAGCCCGCAGGCCGCCAATTTCTCACCCCTGCTCTACCCCCATCTGTGTTGAAATGGATAAAGTTAAAAGTCGGGTTCCTCTTTTAAATCCTCCCTTACCTTTGTTGCCACTATTGTAAAAGTGTTGTACAGGTAGCCAATACAGATAGTCCTCAACTTATGACCATAATGGAGCCCCAATTTTCTGTTACTAAGTGAGACATTTGTTAAGTGAATTTTGCCCCATTTTATGACCATTCTTGCTACAATTGTTAAGTAAATCACTGCAGTTGTTAGCGGCCCAGTGTTGTGGCCCATCAGTGGCCTGTGCAGATTGTAGCTGATTCCGACAACGAGGAGGCTGGTGTGGTGCTATGCCAGCAGCCTGTGCAGCTGGCGCTCGAGTCGGACAGCGAGGAGGCTGGAGAAGATGTGGTGTCAGAGGCGGGGATTCAGCCAGGGCCTTCAGAACTTCCAGAAGCTCCTTTAAGTGACGAGGATGAAGAGGAGGAGCCTCTTCTCAATGCACGGGCGCGCAGAGCTGCCAAAAGGCAGGAGTGGTTTCTCAGGATAAGGCTTGGGGCTAATTGGCCAATCTCTTAGCCTATTTAAGGAGGAATGCTACTTGCAGCAAGCTGTAGGGAACAACTTTAGTTCAATCTCCTTCGCATCTGGATTCTCTGTAAAATTGTTTCTGGGCTTTCTGCCAACTCTAGTAAGACTGTGATTACTTTATCTTAGAATTCTGGTAGGCTGTTAAGACAGTTTATTAACAGCCTTTGGTTGATAAAGACTAAGTTATTTGAGTAAAATAAGCTTTGTATAGAGTTTGTATGTGCTGCGTTCTTTGGGGTCCGTAGCTGGGGCAGAACACCCAGTTGTAAGCAGCCCGGTTGTTAAGTGAATCTGGTTTCCCCATTGACTTTGCTTGCCAGAAGGTCACAACAAATGATCATGTGACCTTGGGACACAACAACGGTCATAAATATGAACCAAGCATCTGAACTTTGATCACATGACCATGGGGTTGCTGCAAAAGGTCGTAACTGAAAAACC